CTATGGAAAACATCCCCTTGTGACTTGGGTTATTCTAGTTCCCCCCCCCAACAGCTCTAGAAAATACTAGAAGAAACAAATAACGATTTGATTGTGAATAGATACGTAGGTTTGGATTTCTAAAATATACCCCCCCCCCCCCCAACAAAAAAAGCAAAAAAAAAAAAAAAGCAGCAACAACAACAAAAACAACAAAGAAACAGGGGAAATAAAAAGTTTGGGTAATCAATGAATGATGGAAGAGGGATGCCCACCACAAGATTTTGATTCTTCAGCTATAAAATCCTTTATTTATTCTAACTACAGAATGAATAGGATTCAACGGCTTGATTTGACTTAACTTAATCAACAACAAAATGTATGTCAAACAATTCATGTATCTGAAATATAAGATCTGTCCTCCTATAGCAACAGCAAATTCATCACATCCTCCCCGTCCCTTCCCCATCCCCCCTTCCCTTTCTCTGTCTCTATGTTCGACTCCGTTGCACGAGATAGGTACTTAACCTTAATGAAAAGCAGCGACCGTTCAGGAATATTAATCCCTTGTGTCTAACAGCACCCATGTGTAACCATGCAAGCAACCGTCCAATTCCCTCTATGATAATGCAATCTCAATTCTAATGTGATTACCCCCGTTTTAATATCTTTCTGCGATGATGTATTGAGCTGGTTCCTAAATGGATGTTGTTCTCCTACATTACCTCATAGCTATATCCGACTTTAATAATGAGCTTATTCTTAAAATAATATAATGAAAGCTTGAGTAATTATGCATGTATCCAAAGTAGATAATTGTGCAATAATTACACTACATGAAAAGGGGATAATCTAATATTGAATCCATAATCCATCCTCTCTAAAGGAGATATTTATGATATGATAGAACATTAGCTGTGCACACACTAGAAATAAAATTAGGACATTTTATTCATTAAGCGCATTTAACTGATGGTCCATAAGGGAATCGAGTTTTATGATTTCTTACAAAAGAGATTAGTTATTTCATATGATCTAAATAAGCAGTATGCAAGTTCAAAACTTTAGGTGAATGTGTTCGGCAAGGCAAGTCAGTGTCAGTTTCATTTTGTAAACGCCATTAAAAGGAAACGCTTATTTGAAGTCCAATAGAACCTATGGGGGTATAGAAAGGTTCAATCAATTTATGTTGTCAGTTTGTTGTCATTAAATAAATAACAGTGTGTCAAACAATGATCCCAGCGTCACAATGGAGAAAAGAATAATTATACACTTTCATATTTTTTTTTGAAGGCCCAACACTTCTAAAACTCGTATTACTGAGCACAACTGGAAGACTGTCAAGGAATCTGAAACCTAAGTTGAACAGAAAGATTGGGATCCTTAACCGGAATTGAATTATTTATCATTTTTTCCCTCTTTATCCTTAGCTTTAGACGAATTGATTAGTTGGATTTTGGCTACAGCTTTTTATAAAGCCGTTAGATATAGGCCACATCTGTTTACCAATACTTTGAAACAAATTCTTTACTACCCATCTGCTTGTTGCAATTGTGTCATAAATCTTTCATTTTCCAGGTTTTCTCGTTGACTGAAACATATTTCAATGAACAAATATAACGGATTTAATGACGATGCACACAATTGTGTTTTATAGACACTACAGCAATACTTTTAAGAGAAGATCCTTTGAATTCAACTACCAACTGTTAGATTTAGAATCATTGTGCTATGCACGTTTGACTTTATTTCCTAACAATGAAATTTGTACTTTAGGTAGCTATTGGTTCTTTTGCCGTTTGTGGAACCAAGTTTCTCTTCGTATAGGTAACCTTATCAAATCAATTTTTTTTAGCAACAATTAGATATAAACCAAAACAAATTGCTTCCAAGCATTGTTTATTGACAGGAGCAATGCGACTACAGTGTAGCTGCTATGAACAACTCTTGAAATGTGTAGTGAGATTTATATATATATATATATATATGGAGAGAGAGAGAGAGAGAGAGAGAGAGAGAGAGAGAGAAAGAGAGAGAGAGAGGGAAAGGGAAAGGGAGAGAGAGAGAGGGAGGGAGAGAGAGAGAGAGAGAGAGAGAGAGAGAGAGAGTGTCAACATTATCGTATAGAGACATTTTTTGGAGGAAAAAAAAGAGAGATGAAGAATTTCCGACTCTCAGATTTCTCTCATTACCATTACCATGAGTTTTTTTCCAAAAGTGCTTTGTTCTTACTTCATTTCGTTATAATAAGGATAGCCTCATATTTGTTGAATAAAATGGAATTCATCAATCACCGATGTGTTATTTCTCAGGAAGAATAGGATGCATTATTCAACAGGTTATTACGCCGAAAGCTTTGACATGTTATTTGAAATATTAACCAAAGAATTTAGAACAGACTACAAAGATAGCAGTGGCATATGTTAATTTAGGAACAGATTGCACAAAAATAACAACATAATAGCGGCCATTGTGGGACAATATATTCCCTCGCTGAACCCTTTTTGTATCGCAGAGTTATAAATAATGATGATAGTCTGATTGCCTGAGGCGAATCGTATTCTAAAATATTCTTCCCTTTATCTCTTCTTTGCGTTATCTAATTTTACTATTCTCTTCGATCTTTCCCTCTAATTCTTCCCTGTCCCGTTTTCTCTTTATCCCCTGTTAAGTAGTAGTAGTAGTAGAGGTAGTAGACTTTATTGGATAACTTTTTTTAGCAAAGGGGTTATTGGTTATTGATTCTCCGCTTGCTTGGTTTAATTATCCGTACTATGTTTACACTATTTTATAAAAAATATATGAGAGAAAATGGAAACGAAAATCAAATCTCTATTTCTCTTTCTCTAATGAACGTTCTGGTCTTCTGGATGTTATTTTCTTTCCATTTGTATTCATGGCGGAAGACTAACATCTTCTTTACTCTTATAATATCTAGAATGATTTAGTTTCCACTATTCTAATAAAGTCATCAACATCAATGAGACTAATTTAAAGCGTGGTATGAAAATCATCAACTGTATACATTAACAACTAAAAAAGAATAATCTGTACCATTATAAAACTTTGATTAACATATTTAGCAGTTTATACGTTTATATATTATATACAATGATGATATATATTAAGTTCAAATGAAGGCTATATAATATCGGCGATTAAATTAATCCAATAAAAACAGAAATATAAGTGTGGAAGAGTAATTTTTCTCAAAATCTGGATCTCTCTGATCTGAATGGTATTTCCAACAAACTGTCCCTTTTCCTTTTATTCTCATTTTCAAATATATTTTTCTAACAATTTTATCAATGTTCACGTTAAACAGAAGATATAATTGAACATTTTTTTAACACTTATTATTTTCAAGAAATTATTGGCTATCTATATACCTCATTCGTATTTTGAAATTATTCACGATCTATGCCATTGACTTGTAATTTTAAAGTACTAATTCTCAACAAACCCTATCATTTACCTGTATTTTATGAGAATAAAAAAAAATGAAATGAAATGAAATACACTCAACACTTCCAAGATCATAAACTCTAGGATATATATCAATTATTCATCAAAATCTGTATAGAGGTATCGAGTATGGATACCAAATAAGTTATATGACAGAAATCAAACTTCCTTTGGAGAAGAAAAAGAGAGTTCCCTTTACATGACATGTGTTAGAAAAGTGTTCATAATGTAAAACGTTTGTTTGTTATTCTCGGTGATGGGGTGGTGCACATCGGAGTGATAGTTTATTGAATAAACTGTAGTTACTAAAACTGTTTGTCTTTCCAATACTTTCAACACAGTCATTAAAAATGTTATAACAAATTCACATAAAGCACTTAGGGAAAGTTAAGGAAGTGTGTTTTCTCTTAATCATTTGCGAGTTTTATATGCACTTTGTCTTTAAAATGTTTCCTTAAATTATGAATGTATTCTGTTAAATTTAAATTTACTTCTCTGGAAACTATTTTCAGCAACTTGTGTCGTTAATACATTTAAAACTATGTATGGAGAAAGTGGCAACCAGTAACAAGGGTCCATCACTATAAAAGGCAGATATACGAGATATAACTTTTGATTACATCCCGGCTTCTAAGCACGTCATCATGATCATGCTGGTGTGCTTTCCTCGGTCAACTACCGGGGCCGAGATCGTCAGTCGCGGGTTGGGCAAACTTATTCACAAACTCGTATCGTTGAGAGGAGTGAAATCGTTTACACATTTCGTTCACTAACATTTCAAAGTTAAGAAATTGACACGAAACAGTAAAATGGAAACGACAAGAATAAGACACCAATGCCCGCGGGGTTTACTTTGTACTATACTTTTACGTCCAAACTCGAGTTGAACGACATGAATGATAAGCTTAAGAAGTAGGCCTATGAAGACAATTCAGATGCATACATTTTATAACACTGTACTATATGGATTTGTTTATGTTCTAATATTGTACCAATTAAACAGAAAATGCCTTGATGACAATAGCTGAAATGAAATACATTTATCATTAATCAACCCTTATAGTAATTAATAATAATTGCTATTATTACGCTTATCGTACCGTATTATAACTTTTATATAAAGTTAAAACAAATATACAGGGGTCTCCAATATTCATTATTTTCAAAATACTTTATTTCATATAATAGATATAAGTTTAATTTGATAATCTGAGTTCATTTCAGCTGTTGGCAACATATGAAAAGGACTTTCACGTCTTTTGCATCCCAGGAGTCTGAAACTTGAAATGTTAGTCACCATACGCTGATGTTTTTTTAAAAGTAGTTTGCTCACTGAAGCAAGTACGTTTCCAGACGTTACTACATTAATACAAACTATCATAAATACCACACTTGTTGCTATGACAGGGATCTTTTAGCGGAAAGACAGGGTGTGGTGTAATATTGTTTCTAAAAAGTTACTATCATAGTGAGCAAATGACCCATGTTTGCCCCAAAGTGTCAGCTAATAAATTCGAGGTATAGTGAGAGCGAAAAGTATAAGTGTAACGACTTACCTGGGCATCGGTAATATGGCCATTCCTGACGTCTTGATGTGGTCTCCTTAGCACTCAGATTATGCACTCCGATCTTAAAGATTCTTCGTAGATAAAGTTTTCCTTCTCAATTTCTAACAAAGTTATCTTTATTTCTCTGACTAGATATTTTCAAATAATATTTCCTATAGAGTATGTTTATTAAGAAAAGAGTTCTTTGAATAGATGTACCAGTCTCGTAGAGTATCACTTCAGAATAAATCTGCGCTGAAAATCAGATTGATTTCGGATATGAAGTTAATTGAATATCAGTGAAAGACTTCATACCAGGAGCTGACATGATACCACCAACCCGAGAATCAACCCGCCTCAAATCTGGGTCTTCTTTCTAACAACTCGCTGTGAAACCCACTGAACGGTGTGATTAAAACACGGTGGGTAACAATAGAACCACACGCCGTTTCTTACGTGTTGGGCTATTGTAATAGACCAACAAACCAGACTTGAAACATTAAAAGAGATCGGAAAAAGTCAGATTCGCTGTACACTCCGCCCCTTGCTATTGACGAGGCTGTATGTATTAACGCACGTTGACAATATTAAAAGGGTCAGTGTAAATCACATTGATTAACAGGTACCCCATTCCTTATTGGCTGGCTCACTGACTCCCATACAATCTGTTGCTTTCTGCGCATGCGTCATTGATCTATCTGGTTTCTGGTTAGAGGATTTTTTTTTACTGTGCCAGAGAGGTTTGATTTAAGTTCAACTGTAGAAGAAGAAAAAGGAATATGATAACGATGAAACTCTATTTAACAGACGATGGAATGTAAGAGGGTGAGGGAGAAAGTGAGAGAGAGAGAGAGAGAGAGAGAGAGAGAGAGGGAGGGAGATAGAAGATAGAGAGAGAGAGAGTTGTAAAAAGGGGGCTGCAGTAAATAGATTGACAGTAACAGAGACAGAAGTACAGGAAGGTGGAGAGCGTATAGATCAAGAGAGATAAACAGATGCACAGAGAAGGAGAGAGAAGGGGGGGGGGGGAGAGAGAGAGTGAGAGGGGTGGGGTGGCGTGGGTGACACTCCACAAAAATACAAAGTAGAGAGAATGATCGAAATGGAGAATTCAGAAGATAGAGAGAGAAATTCGAAGATAAAAAGTTGAAAATAAAAAGATATCATATTTCTCTCATTCCGAAAAATGAGAAAATGAGATTTTTTTTACTGAGGTGGAAAGAAAGAGAGAGAAAAGTTGAAACAAGAGTTCTAGATTTTTTCTGAATATTAATCCTGTTTCAATCAAATTCATTTTTTCTGAAGTTCTCACCCTAAATAGACATAGTTACTATGCTTTCATTATCATAACTTGCAATTGAATGTACATGCGTGCGTGCGTGTGCGCGTGTGTGTGTGTGTGTGTTGGGGGCGGGGGCAGCTTAAACGAAACAAAAAACAACAACACCATTTTTCAGCATTCGCTGTTTACTATGTCATTGTGTTCATAATATAAGCATAATCATTATCGCCATCATCTCCATCATTGAATTGAATTGAGGTTTTATTATATTTTCCTTTACAGCTAATTTCTAGATTGAAAAAGATGTACAATACTAAAATCGTTCTGCTCATAACACAACATCACAGTCTATATTTCAAAGAGTTTCCAAAACCTGAGTCTACCATAACAGCTGGAGTGTGAACGAGCCGTCCTAAGTCCTATCTAGATAAGGAAACGAACAAAATAATAAGTCTGAACAATATTCCTAGAAAATTATGTATATATATATTTTTTTTCGGGGGGGGGGGGGAGGGAGGGAAAGCTGAGCGAGATGAAGCTCGGCAGGTCAATTCAATTTTCAAAAATACAATTTTAATACCACTTGAATCGGTGTGATTGCTTTAGTAATTGTTCTTTCTCTAACCGATTGCATCTTTTTCAGCGATTGTTATCAAAGTGGTAGAAAATTAAGCGTTTGACACAGCTGATCAGCGGGAAGTCCGCGGACTGACGAGCGAGTGTCGGACTGAGCGCCGCGGAGATGTGACGAGGCATCCATTAAAATGCTGCTTCTACCACAATTGGCGCCTCGCTGTGAATCGTTTGTCCCCGTGTGCTTGCCGACGTTCATGACTGGTGTCCGCTATTATCCAATGGGAGGGCGAAAAAAGCGCCGATTTGCACGCCGCACGATTGCGTGTTGTGCTGCTCGACTCAAATATTACACAGGGCAAAAAGCCCTTCACACAAGGACACGTACATGATAGCGGCTCGATCCACAGGTGACGCCCGGATAGTTGCGGCTTAGGAGCACCGCGACAGCCGCTGGATAGACGTACCATTATAATGCGCAGCAGCTAACAATCAATACTGAACACAAATTCATTTATTTGTTGATTGATTTACATGCCGATTGAATATACGATGAACGATTCTCTTATCTAGTTTTTGTCATTAGCCTTTGAAAATCGGGACCCAATTATTGTAATCTCGAGGGAAAGAAATTTAATTGAAAAAAAATCTAGGCCATTGGCTTTAGACCTTTTATTAATATTAAAAAGAATATATTGTGTAAAAGTTGAAAGTTTAATATAATACTAGAATGAAAGTAGAGGATATTGGCCTATTATAATACTTAGAAACCTAGGAAGGTAACATGTAGAGCGACGGGTGGGTTGTATTATGTATCATGAGGGGGAGGGGGGGGGCGTGAGTGTAAACTTATGAAAGCATAATGGAAAAAAGAAGATATATAATTGGAGATTGGTATAATTTTATGATATACGTGAATGGTGAAAGGAGCAATGAAGAAACTTTTGATGATTCCAGAAACCAAGATTATATATAAAATACTCTCAATTAATCACCTTTTGAAATTCTACCTTGCACAAAAAAAAAACTTTCAGGAAGATTATGATGAAACGTCGATCTTCTGAGCTAATCTGATCATATAATTGAAATACTACCATGACCGCAGGATTTGTTATTTGACTAACTACCTACAAACCTATAGCTTGGTAAGACTAAATGTTATCATTCTGAGTGAACATGGATGAATAATCTATTTTGTGGGGTTAAGAATAGAGTATACAAATAACTGAGATCAACATCACATATAATTGTATAAACAACCAATATTAGGGGGGATCCAAATCATTTTACAGTTTCAAAGAGGATTATAACTATTATTTTATTATCGGATATGGACGAGTATAAAATTGGATATGGTTTCATTATGTATCAACATAATACTTAATATATACCTACAAATTTTCAACAACATAACAGGAACTTATTTTTTATCTTCAAGTTCCTTTTTGTTGTTTTAAGGAGTTAGACTGACTGCTTCAATTCAATATATACTGTATATAGCAACTGCCATGTTGTCTTAAATAGAGTGATTCATGCACTTCATTAGATAATAAATGAATGTAATACCACTTTACCAACGGAAATTAAAACAATAAAATAGAATAATAAAGACAGTATGCATCATAATTATTTGTATCGTGCAGATACAGTATTTTACGATGTAATGTAAATTCGTTTATTTATTGATGTACAAACTGAAATATTCGTATTCATACAAATAAATTAAAAAGTCAACCATAAAAATGTAAGTACCGAAATACAAGCTGAGTACAGACGTGCTTCCAGTGCCATTCTGTATGAGTTTTAGCCGAGAAACTTGTCTAACAATAGCTCGATAGACACTATTCCCAGTACTTAATGGTTTACGAAATAGCGCAAAAAACGCCAGCTTCATGATAAAAACGACGAATCGGGCATGCTTACAGAATTGATAGGAGTAAGCGTAAGCTAATTCAGAATTATGATGCTTCGCTTCGTGATATTTAAACTGCTGAGATCACGTTGATTTACTCGAAACCTATATGAGAGAGAGTTGTTTGGAAGTATTTTAACGACTTTTGTTCTACTCTGCTTGAAAGATAGAGGGAAGTGCAGTTCTTCGCATACTCTGAATAGTTAACAATGCAACGTCTATGGCGAGGAAGAAAATTGATACAATAACGTTAAAATGGGAAGTAAACGCTAGAAACGAAGAGTATGGCATAATAACATAAGCTTGACAATAAATAAATAAATAAATAAATATTAACGCTCTGAAATATGATTCTTTTCTTCAAGAATTATAACAATTGCCTTTAGAGTAAATCGTGGAGTAGAGCAATAGTATTTGTTACAGTGGTAGTATTATTAAGACATAAAAGGATGTCAGTGTTTCAAGTCACTTAACAGTGTTGCAATTTTGATTTTAAGCAGTAAGATAACTTTGGTAACCGATTATTTCGGAATAAAATCAACGTATATTTTATTTGGTCCGTGAATTTTAGAAACTTGAATAATACTTCTAAGTACTAGTATATGTTAATGATCCCTTATAATGAAAATAAAAAGTATAAAGATAGAGCTGTGTAACTTGGCAAAACAGTCGGTTTATTTCCTTTCTGATAAAACTGAACCATATGTTACGACTTTCTTCCTTGCATTAAGAATTGGCTCAATAACAGAGATAAGCAGTATACTGTTTGATTAAAGTGCTGTGTGATCTCAATCTATAGTATTTATGATCGTCAGTTTTCGTGATATATCAAACAAATGCACTTTTCTACAAAGTGTGCGCACTTCTAAAGATTATTGCATAGGACCTAATTCATAAAGAGTACAATATGATGTACCTATACCCTACTTTTATTCAATTTGGCACGATTTTGCTATTTTATGGCTTAGTAAAAGCGCCGAAAAAACTCTCGGCTAAAAGGATAGCACGACCTTTTTTTAAATGGCAGATGCTGTGCTTCAATTTAAGATCACGAACAGGCATTAGCATAATGGAATCTGTAAAGAACTGAAAACGCAAAACGCATCATGTTAGGCAAGGGATGGGCCAGTCACGTGCAAAAGTAATAAATTGACATGATATAAGATGAGAAACTACACTCAACCCTAATTGCAAATCTTTCGAAGCTGTTCATAATCTGTAGTTTTGTACATTAATTTTATAGACTCCATCAAGATGAAATACAGAAACGAACTTGCTTGGTGTCCACGCTAGGAATTGGGATGATGGTTATATTATATTATTGATGGGTTTTGAATGGTATAAAACCTGATATTTAGGCAAGTTTGGAAGGCTTCCTCAGGAACACCTGAATGTTTGTATAATAACACATAAGGTGTAGAATTTGAGAACTGAGAAGGACCGTAACTCCGTAAGGAAATGTGGAAGTGAATACATCAAGGAACACATACAATGTTTAATGTTTTGATGGGATAGTGCATTCTTTCAAAGGGACACTAAACAGAGCAGAACAAAACCAAAAGATAACAGAACAGAAAAAAGTATAACAAATGAAAAACAAAAGGGAATACAGTATTTAACCAGAAATGACATGGGTCTATTCTCATCACATATCAAAGGAAAGTTATTATTGCCGTTAATAAATAATAATAATAATAACAACATTTATAATGCGCACATATCCACCCCAAGAGATGCTCAAGGCGCCTATACCTTTACACATCTCACTTGTCTACACCACATTAATTAGAGTATTTGTAGTATA